CTTCGGATTATAATATTGCTTCGGAGAAGAAGGGAGGGAGGGAGGGAGGGAGGGAGGGAGAAGTTAGAAGCAGAATCCTCTTAGTTGTCACTTTTAATTTCATACCACAATTATTCAGGAGGCAATTCAATATCACATTGCATATCTCTCCGTATTCTTTGATGGAACCTATGTTACCTTTGGATTATAATACTGCTTCAGACCTCTGAATGTATTCAGGAATGAGAAAGAGAGTGGGAAACAATTGTAAGAAGTCCAAGCAAAAGAAGGAAAGTTGAAACTCGTGAAGTGATTGATTGAGTTGAATTTCTATCTGCATTTGTCGTATAGCAGAAGGAAAACTAAAAAACCTTTGTGTTGAAGAGATGCATCAGGGAGATGCAGCTCTTTGGCTGCTTGGGGGAGCATCACCTGTCAAACGTCTGCCTGTTCACATCCCTCGCAGCAGTATGTTCAACTGGGAAGAACAAACAATGCACGAGTGAGAAGCTCACTTGTAAAATCACAATGAAGACAACATCTTCATTAAATTGTGTAGCCCAGAATCTGAGATGCCCAAAATAATGGTAAAGTTAAGAAAAAGGATTTTTCTCTTACTGATGTGCAAGAGCGTTGGCCACCTTCAAATGACAGTATCTTCAAAAATCCAGTTCATAATTAAAAAGGCACATACCCATTGCTTTTCTTTCCGTTGGTAAATTCATTTCTCTGGGGCTGCCAGTTGTGAAGGTCAGACTCAAAAAACATCCCTTTCCAAGTCAGTTTAAACAAATAGGAAATGCATAGATTTAACCAACTATAGCTAGAATTTACATGGATTCTCACCCAAATGGGTCTGTGTATTGGAAATTAGGTGACTGCTCCTCCTGAAGCTCTTTCCACACTCCATTCATTTATCCTGCTTCTCTCCTGCATGGACACATCCATGAGATAGGAGGGAATGGCTCTTAGTAAAACTTTTTCCGCACTCTATGCACTTATATGACTTCTCTTCTTTGTGTATCCTTTTATGGGAAGTGAGCTTACTGTTCTCGCTGAAGGCCTTCCCACACTCCATGCATTTATATGGGTTCTCCCCTGTGTGGATCCTTTGATGAACAGTAAGAGAAGTGCTTTTACAGAAGCTCTTTCCACACTCCATGCATTTATATGGCTTCTCCCCTGTGTGGATCCTTTGATGAACAGTAAGAGACCTGTTTTCACGGAAGCTCTTTCCACACTCCATGCATTTGTATGGCTTCTCTCCTGTGTGGATCCTTCTATGATGTGTGAGGGAATACCTCTCAGTGAAACTTTTTCCACACTCTATGCACTTATATGGCTTCTCTCCTGTGTGGATCCTTTTATGGGAAGTAAGCTTACTGTGTTGGCGAAAGCCCTTCCCACACTCCATGCATTTATATGGCTTCTCTCCTGTGTGGATCCTTTGATGAATAATAAGAGAACTATTAAAAATGAAGCTTTTTCCACACTCCATGCATTTATATGGCTTATCTCCTGTGTGGATCCTTCTATGAGATGTGAGGGAAGAGCTCTGAGTGAAACTTTTTCCACACTCAGTGCACTTATATGGCTTCCCTCCTGCGTGGATCCATTTATGGGAACTTAGGTTACTGTGCTGGCTGAACGCCTTCCCACACTCCATGCATTTATATGGCTTCTCCCCCGTGTGGATCCTTTGATGAATAGTAAGAGAACTATTTAAACTGAAGCTCTTTCCACACTCCAAGCATTGGTATGGCTTCTCCCCTGTGTGGATCCTTCTATGAGATGTGAGGGAACAGTTGTTAGTGAAACTTTTCCCACACTCTGTGCACTTATATGGCTTCCCTCCTGTGTGGATCCTTTTATGGGAAGTAAGCTTACTGTGTTGCCTGAAGGCCTTCTCACATTCCATGCATTTATATGGCTTCTCTCCTGTGTGGATCCTTCTATGAGATGTGAGGGAACAGTTGTTAGTGAAACTTTTCCCACACTCTGTGCACTTATATGGCTTCCCTCCTGTGTGGATCCTTTTATGGGAAGTAAGCTTACTGTGTTGCCTGAAGGCCTTCTCACATTCCATGCATTTATATGGCTTCTCTCCTGTGTGGATCCTTTGATGTATAGTAAGATAGTCCTTTTCATGAAAGCTCTTTCCACACTCCATACATTTGTATGGCTTCTCCCCCATGTGGATCCTTTGATGAACAGTAATAGAACTGTTTGCACGGAACCTCTTTCCACACTCCATGCATTTATACGGTTTCTCCCCTGTGTGGATCCTTTGATGAACAGTAAGAGAACTGTTTTCACGGAAGCTCTTTCCACAGTCCATGCATTTATATGGCTTCTCTCCTGTGTGGATCCTTTGATGAACAGTAAGAGAACTGTTTTCACGGAAGCTCTTTCCACATTCCAGGCATTTATGTGGCTTCTCTCCTGTGTGGATCCTTTTATGAACAGTAAGAGAACTGTTGTAACTGAAGATCTTTCCACACTCCATGCATTTATATGGCTTCTCCCCTGCGTGGATCCTTCTATGAGATGTGAGGGAACAGCTCTTAGTGAAACCTTTTCCACACTCGGTGCACTTATATGGCTTCCCTCCTGCATGGATCCATTTATGGCAATTTAGGTTACTGTGTTGGCTGAAGCCCTTCCCACACTCAATGCATTTATATGGCTTCTCCCCTGTGTGGATCCTTTGATGAATAGTAAGAGAACTATTAAAACTGAAGGTCTTTCCACACTCCATGCATTTGTATGGCTTCTCTCCTGTGGGGATCATTTTATGAGATGTAAGGGAACCATTTTCATGGGAAAGAGTGAAAATGCTATTGTAATTATTTCCATTGTCTCTGGATATATAATCTTCTTTTGTGTGGATTGGATAGTGTTCATTTATTTCTAATTTGTCTTTGAATAGGCCTACACTTTTCACCA